GTCCCAAAAATTTTTAAAAATCGTACATAAAATAAGTTAAATTTCATTATGATCTGATTTCATTATGATCTGCCACAGTAACTATGGTGTTTTCAGCACCTATAACGAATATAATCTAAAAATGAATAAAAAATTATTAAATGTAAAAAAATTTATTACTAATATTGTTATTTAAAGATTTTAATACATAAAGGTAAATAATGGGATAGAAAATATGCTTGTGTTAATGCTATTGTAAAATTATATGCTTGCTATAGCTGCTAAAATCTTATCAAATATTGTCGGCTGTCACTTAGATTATAAGCGCGATGTTAAGGCATACCAAAAATGTGTACAAAGAGACAAACTTCTTAAAATTCGGTAAGGTTAGGGTTAGAGTCAGGGTTAAGATTTAGAGAGGAAAAGTTTATATAATAAAATTGTCCAACGAAAATGCGCAAAGGTGGTATCTTATACTGATTTATGAGCTATGAGCGATTTTTGGCAGAACGAACGTTTGTTTTGAATCTTCTTGACCGTTTTACGTGACACCTAATTTTGAAATCTGATTCGTAGTTCAGGAAAGCTGCGCCGCCAACCTTTTACGTACACATTTTCGGTATGCGATGTTAGGTAGCGTCATTGTAAATTCTCCTGATAAAGTGGCTAACATTCCATAACTCACAAATGTCTCTTATACTTTATGTGCCCCTTAATCAACTTATATTTCGGACTGGGCACGACTCAAGTCGACTCAAGCTTTGGGTGAGTCGAGTCGACTCAGACTCTGAGCGAGTTGAGTCGAGGAAATTCCTAGGAATTCTTAATAAGATTAAGCTCTGGGTCGATTTGACTCGCTGAATGGACATACAGATTATCCAATTCCAAGCACAAACTTAAAACCCTTAAAATCAGTTAATAGACGTGGTAAAAACGTGAAATATTTCACAATGCGTTGTATCACGTTTATAACTTGTTAAATTTGATGAGTAATAAGTGTTCTAAGTTCATTGTGTAAATATACTCAGAGTTGCAAATTGGTTTATAATAGAAGTAGTAATGTCGTAGGTGGGAATAGAACTTAAGTTGATTCGGAATTTATAAGGTTAGAGGGGGTGGATTCTGAACCCTATTATGATTCTATTCCCACTTACAACAGTAATAGTTTCATAATGAGTAAGTAATGCATTCTCTCTGAGAATGATAAGACAAAGCAATAAATTTACATGATTAAAATCAACGCTATTTACATATAATTAAAATCAAAATATTATATTAATATTAATAATAAAATGCTAATAACGGTATACTAACATTTTATTTATTTATATCTTTAATATTGTAATATATGGATATTTTATATGATCGTTATGATTTTTTAGTATTTTTTTTATCGCCAGATATGTATAATTTCATCACAGGAATTTCTTTCATTAAGTTAATCTTGCTATACAGCATATTTAATTCCGATAAAAAATTTCTTATTACCTTATCGCATGACCAATATTGTATATATGTATAAACTTTCATTTAAAAAATTCATTTAATCAGTGATATTAAACATCAATAAATTTAATGCTCATATAATGATATATTGTAAATGATGAGTGATGCATTTCTTTTCTTTCAATGTTAGGTGAGATACTTTTGACGGCTGATGCATAACAGACTCGAATTAAAAGCTATATTTATAAGAGAAATAACAACTTTCAAGTTAAAAATTGCTGTAATCATTTTGTTTTATATAATTCATTTCACAATACGTCTATTAAAATATTCTTATTCAATTCACTGATGGCTGCTCAAACACAAAAACTTTTATCTTTATCATTCATATTCTCGTGCATGATTATTGCAACGATTGCAGTAAGCTGTCCCTCATACTTAAGAGAACGCGATGTATATAAACCTTACGATCAAACACATCGTTACAATGAACGGGCTATTATTTACGACGATTTTGATGATTTAGATGATTTAGATGAATATGATGTGGTTTACCCGGTTTACCCTGACGATGATTTAGATGAATATGATGTGGTTTACCCGGTTTACCCTGATGATGAATACGATGTGGTTTACCCGGTTTACCCTGATGATGATTTTTTTGATGACGACTTATTAGTTTACCCTGATGACGAATTATTAGTTTACCCTGATGATGACTATTTGGATGACGATGACATATTAGTTTTAAGGGATGAATATGGTGGATCCGGTGGAGAGAAGTATTTTCCGTCCATAATTTAAGGGAATGAATATGACGAGGAATACGTGGATACGGTGGATACGGTGGATACGGTGCCATGAAAAAGAATATTTTCAGTTCTGCAAACGCCGTTATCGGAACTATTATATTAAGGCCGTTTAAAGTTAATTAGTTGGTTAACGTCATCCCCCCCTCCTCAGATTGCTGCCCCCCCAAAAATAAACACTTAGTATTATTTATATGCACAAACTCGAAAATCAACCAATCAGCGGCTTTAATTTTGTCCATTTAAACTTATTTGAAATTACAAATAACAAAATCTTCCAGAAATTTTTATAATAAAGTTTTTTTTACAAATTAATTTGAACAGATTATAAGAGCAACCAGGTAGTTACAAGGGATATCCTGTGTCAGAACAAGAACTGCAGGGGTAGATTGGAAGCATACGTAAGTCTGGTAGTACGTACATACGTATTGTAACGAATAATTCTTCCCTTGTCTCTCACTTCCGTATTTGTCTAATTCATTAAGTTGTCACATACCTTCCATAATTGTATCGCCATAGCCAAGTTAATCTTACCTTTCTAGTATTAGGCGGCTTAAGAATATTATTTCGGATATGTATCGTAGGCGTTTAAGCCTACTACGTAGGCGTAGTTAAACACTGGCCAACAAAGGGTAATACGTAAGCTTAGTCGTAGCGAAGTAACGTAGTTAGAAATC